GAGGGATCTTTTAAAGAACTAAGAGCTTGGCGAAGTAACAGTTGCTACTTTTTTTCGACTTGTTTCAATCCCAAGGGGATTTGAACCTACGATTCCCGCTCCAGCCATTCAATTTCTCCTTTTTTGCCACAGATTTGGTGCCGTTGACCACCCTTGGACCTGCAGGGGAAAGTCCTGCCAGGGGATAATAAGAATTTGAGTTGTGTCTTCAAGGGCGAAGGCAGTATAAGGAGGGAGGAATGTAAAGGTTTGGGCCGTGGATATCGGCCTGGGTAGCTCAGTTGGTAGAACACCTGACTATCTAGAGATACAGGGGTCCCAGGTTCGATTACCGGTCAAACCATTCATTTTCTCCTTTCCTCTTACAGATTTTTAAAATAGTAAACTAAATTTTATAACTAGCTCTGAAAATACATCACTTTAAAAAGTATATTTCTACTCTAAAGATTGAGTAAGTAAATGATAAGGACTTTCTGTAAAATTTAACATCAAAACAATTTTAAAAAAAGGTGCAAGTAATAAACTTTTACTTCATTGTATGCAAATTTACAAATTATTTGTAACATATTTTAAAAACATAATTTTATCTTACGAAATAATTACATCTAAATAAAATTAAGCTGGGCCAATATGTATATAATTATTTTTGGTATAAAGTGAATATACAAGACTCTGCACGGAGGTTTTCCTAGCTTTAACACAGGAACCACTAAAGCTCTTAATTATACATTTCGACATTTTTCTGTTTTTCTTCTTAAAATACAAATCATCTGACTTCACATAGTTCCTTAAAATGATTTGGAAAAGGCATCTAATGTTACAGTTCAGTTTAGTACTTGTTTCAGTAAAGCAGAGCATTTCCTCGGTTACTGATTTCTTCAGAACTTCGTCAGTAGTTACTTTTCTAGAATTCGTTTTGTCTATCTGGTTTCCCACAAGAATAATCCTGCTAACGTCTTTTCCTGAAATGTTTAAAAAATAATTTAGTAAAAATCTAGCATTGACTTTAACCGTTTCATTAGCATGATATAAGAAAAAATTTTGTCTGTCACAGTTTAATTCGATCAAATATATTAATTTTTACCTTTAATGTCTTTGACTTTTTTAACAAGTGAGTGAGCCCGATGGAATGACTGGGGGTCATCTACTGCATACACCACGACAAAATAGTCTCCATTCCTAATATTAAGGTCTTGCATGGCGGGAAACTCATTGCTGCCTGAAGTATCGATGATTTGAACTTGTTGAAATAAGCCATCTGCAAAAATGATTAAGACGATGAAAAAAAAAATGAATTTTTGCATATCAGATTGGTAACAAAACAAACAAGAAATCCGTAGAATTAATAAATGCATTTTCTATAATAATATTATTCAAAGCATTTTCTTTACTTACTGGGGAGGCAAACAGTTTCATTGTAACAGTTTTCAAGAGTTGGCTCGGTTGCTTCTTGAAATGATCCGTACAGGAATAGTTTAACAATACTCGTTTTCCCTACCCGCTCTGCTCCAAGAAATACAATACGTTGTTGCCTTATTTTATTTCGATCAAGAAATCAAGAGTAACGTTAAAAGAATGTTTTGGCTTTTCAAATTTTTATTTATATATCATTTGAAATAAATTTTCTAATGTCATTCAAAGTTACATGTTAATTTACATCCTACGTAGATTACCATTTACGGATAAGAAATTGGATGTGGTTAAGCGATGTTAACGTATCATTGACAGGAAACAGTAAGAGACAATCTTTCAAGTAAAAATGGAAGGAACTGATCGGTTATAAGTAATTACGTAAACATTTAGATAGATTTATTGTTAGACAATTAAACATTTTTTCTATAATGCAACGTTTCGGGCTGAAAATTTACTTCATTCATAATGTCATCATCTTGTTCTAGTAACTCATATCTACAAATTTGAGTGATTGTTTTTCTTCCTATTAGAATTATGAGTAGAAAACATTCTTTTTATGCATATTATTTTTAGATATTTTTTTTTCGGCTGACAAGTTCATTTTATCTTTTATTTTTATAAAGATCCAAAAATCGAAAATAAACATATAATACTCCCTTTGTTTCACCCTTAGAAAATAATTTGATCTGATATTCATGCTTTTCAGACCTTAAGAGTCGTCATTATTTAGTTACTAGTTTTTTCAGATAAATACAGTTGCCTATCCGAGACACACAAAATAAAACAAAATTTGTCCTAATTGCATGTATCAAGGCGAATATTTTTAAATGCCTTCGTCGTATTCAGTATATTATAAAACCTCATTACACGGCTCAAAATTACTGATGAAACACCTCATATTTATTTGATTTGAACATATTTTATTGTTTCACACAAAAGGATGAGAAACTAGTTTTTACAACTTACCAGTTCTCCTGGTGTTAGTAAAGTTAATACAGTCAGTACATCTGTCATAGTAATAACATAGGAAATAACATTGGCAAGTGATATGAATAAATTGAAATATTCATCATATATTTGGTGCCTTCCCCATCGCTGCTATGTAGTATGAAAATCCCATTTCTTCTCAATATAAAAAGGTATGGCCAAGATTAAAGTTTTTTTGGGGACAGAATGAGAGACCTACAGACTGACAGACGGATGAGATTTAATGTCCCCTCGCTTTTGCGAAAGCGGGGGACAAGATTTGGACAGTGAAGTTTTTCACTAACACCTTCTCATGGTTTAAATTCTCTACCGGTACTTTAAAACTTGTTCTGATTATACAACCAATTTTCAAAGCGAGAGAAAAAAAGAAAAAGAAAATTTCATCGGATGAAGGAACGCAAGTGCGTTTGAAAACAGGGAACGAGACATTTTAAAATTCAGCAACTGTACCGCTTTTACTATGTATGTCAATGACCACACACATCAGACAGTGTTAATCCACTTCTATTTCCCTCCACTGCTGTTTTTCCTCAAAGTCTTTGTACATCCGCAAAGAGGAGAGGAAACCATACTCACATGAGTAATATTTTTCTTTATTTGTTTTCAATTTTAACAGATTGATATACATTTTCATGTATTACTTAAAAAAATTTTAAGCCTGACAAGAAATGGTGTTTTGATGTTGAGTAGATAAGGTAACTCAAACTATACAGGTACTCAAGGGAAAATGTTGAGAAAATGAAAGCTCAATCACATATTTTTTGTCCCCCGCTTGAAAAGTGGGGGATATTAATTTGGGTTTGTCCGTCCGTCCGTCCGTCTTTCTGTCTGTCTGTAACGCTTTCGTTTCCACACGATATCTCGAGAACCTCTTGAGCTTTTGCAATGAAATTTAGCATAGCAACTCCCTATGGACTAAAAAAGACCCCTATGGATTTTGAGGTCAAAAGGTCAAAGGTCAAGGTCATAAATAAGCAAATTCTGTCTGTTAAAACACTTTCGTTTCCACACGATATCTCTAGAACCATTTAAGCTATTGCAATGAAATTTTACATAACAACTCCCTGTGGCCTAAGGAAGACTCCTATTGATTTTGAGGTCAAAAGGTCAAAGTTCAAGGTCGTAAATTTATACATTATGTCTGTGTGTAACACTATCATTTCCGGGCGATATTTCAAGAAGATTTTGAGCTTATGCAATGTAATTTTATACCAAAACTCCCTAGGACCTCTCTCACCCCTCTCAAAGTGCCCCGCCCCGTTTGTTTTATTAGTATATATAGTATTACATGTCGCTATTTTTAGCACAGGGGCATGCGGGGAGTTATTGTGTATAAAACAGGTTCTCGGCGGACTTTATGTTCTTATTACATCTATTAGAACTGTTAATAAAGGCTAAATAAATCAAACACCATGGATTGTGTAAAATTTTGACAATACCGAACATGCATATATACATGTTTGTGACTTCACTTCTGCATATACTTGATTACATTTAAGGCGACTCCGTGGTCTAATGGTATGTCTCCCGCTTCACATGTGAGAGGTCACGGGATCGAATCTCGTACGATCCTTTTTTTTTTAAACTTTTCTTTTTTTTTTAAAGTGATAGTTTTCAGCATGTGAAAAGAAAAATTTATGAGGTTATAAAATCATCATTACAGTGTGATATAAATATTCCATATAAAAAGAATCTTCTATACACATAATAAAGAATAAGCAATCAAATCTTTATACGCATATTGACATACATGTATTTTATTTGCTTCAGTATACATGTATATAATTAATAATTCTACAAATTCAGTCAGGGGGATCCGACTTTTTCCCTAAGCAGGGGACACGAATTCTCTGAATTAGCTTGTTTATAATGCTTGTGACGTCGAAGATTTTGCTGCGCCGTGACTTAATGGTATGTCCTGAAAACTCACTCAAAATTAATACCAATTTACAACATTTTGATATGAAATTTTGAAGACCATATAAGTAAAGATTCTTTTATATTATTTGTGAAATTTTGCCCTATTATGTCGTCAAATATTTCTTCTGCGCAACAAGTCCGCGTAATTTTTGAACGGCCCTCGTACTAATATATATTAGTATATAGGTCCCTGGACCTAGGTCGATAAAAAAATTAGTTACTTTGCCTAGCGCTTTGAAATGAAAATTGTCTGACTTAAGAAAAACATTAAATACCGAGGCCAATGTCAAGGCAGGAATAAAACATGGCCTGGCCACTTTCAGGGTGTTTGTTTTGCTAGAACTTTAACTGTGTTTGAACGACTATAGAATTTTTTTAATAATAGACTTAAAAGAGATTGGAGGAAGTGGTTACCGGTTCGGGAATTGGCATTTTATTTAGTCAAGCCATAAAACATCGTTCTTCAAAGTTACGGTGAGTGGACAATATAAGAAAGAAAAAAAGAGAGTCTGTTTTCATAATGTATTACTCACGATATAATTATCTAAAATAAACGATTTCTCTTAATTTTGTAGAAAACTCGAACGATGTCCATTGTGACAGCATGCATTACAAGTAACGTACTCAGGAATAAAATAAGTTTTCCTTATGGCTACAAGACGTTGAAAGTAATCAATTATCTTTCATAAAATTGTTCTATCCATCGTCCTTTTAAAAACAGTATATACGAGTATATATGCATCAGATGTTTTGCATCGTCATCACTCGTAAAGGTTTAACTCGTGGCGCCCTAAACCTTCTGTTGTTGTATTCTTTGTATTTCTTTCGTTCTTCTTCATCATCATCATCATCACCACGTTTCGCCAAGGCAGCCCAACAGGTTTTGCAACAGATACTCAGTAAGCCTATTATTACCACAGACACGCATCCCAAAACTGCATAAAGGCTAAACCGATACCAAAAAGGGGCGTTCGATGAAAAGACTTGCAAAAATAAGTAGATATTTAGCATCAGCTTGAAATTTTATGTTTGCATTGTATAAAAGATATAAAAATCTGAGCAATTAAAATTATGTTCTATAAATTTAACTAAGTTTGAAATATCCTAAGAAAAAAATCATCAATTGAAAGATTTCAGCGTTTAAGCGTTTAAAAGTGTAACTGAATTCTTCTGTTAATATTTCTCAATCAATTGTAAATCAGTTATTCAATTTGTAACAAATTTAAAAATTTAATAACAAAAATAAACAACATTGACTTACTATTCAGTGACATCCCTCCGTCTGGTCCCTTGTCAAATGCTGATCTTTTAGTTGTAATTTGTATGGTTTCCATCTTGGGAGAGCTTAAAGAAGTCATTAGTTTGTTGGAGTGGATGGATGTTCGTGCTGATGTTGTTGTTATCGCTTCTGCTGATTGCTTGTCCAATGTTGATCCTTTAGTTGTAATTTGTGTGGTTTCCATATTGGAAGAGCTTAAAGTAGTCATAGGTAGAGTTGTGTGGATAGTTGATTGTGCTGTTGTTGTTGTTGTTGTCGTCAGTTCTGTAGATTGTCTGATAGCTTGTAGGTTGATACTTGAGACAGTTGTTGTTGGTCTCGTTGACTCCTCAGTATTTACACTTGTTGTTGGAGGATTTGTAAAGTTTAAACCTGGAGTTGTCGTTATGGATGTTCCGAAATCTGTGGTTCTAACTATTGTACCTATTTAAAAGATTTTTCTGCCTTTTCAGTCCAGGTGCCTCGATATTTGCTTTGACAATTCAGATAGAATAATAATTTTGCTTAAAAAACATTGAAAAGGAAAATAAAAGTATTTATTTTCTATACTTATTGCTGTAAGACAATCCTGGTAAGGGACATGTATTGCTTGAATATAGCTACATAACTGTAGCTCTCCGAAAAATATAGAGCGAAGAACTACAGTGACTCCACCTTACGTTACATTTAAATATTGTACAAATTGAAGTCATTTTTATAGAACATCAATTTTTCTTACACCAAATGAATGAAAACAAGTTGTCTTTTAGAAAAAGGACGGCAATACGTGGACCATATGCATGTGTTTCTTACCGAAATTCAATTGAAGAAAATTTCTAAGTTTAGTGAATATCCACGTAGGTTCATTCACATTTCTACAATTGCAATGATCTGCCTAATTTGACTGATAGTAATTCCATAGCAAAATTGTAAAAATTGTATCCCCGATTAGCCTTTAGTTTTTTCGTTTTTTGAAAATCGGGCTATATACATTTAACTTATAACGGCTGGGACCTGACATCTCCTCTGGATTTATACGGAAGAAATCATCATTGAACCGCTTCGCAGTTTATAAAGCGTAAACTGCCCCAACCATACAAGATCAGTTTATACCATACCAAAATTTCTTTTAAAAAAACTTGATGCAGTTTTCAGAGATGAGATGTGGATCATATTTTAATTATGTAACGTGCCCGAGAATACTTATTTTCAATAAAAAAGCTGTTTCAAGGTTTAAATGAGTTTATTGTTAGATTAAATTAATTTAATAAATAATAAAATCTTATCCCTGAAAAATTCTTGGTTGATAAGTTGAATTATCCAATTTAATCAATACTATAGCGCAGCTTACGTTTTGTAATACGGGTTATAAATAAAATGGGGGGTATATCGACTGACATCCAACGTATAGGTATATGTTATATAAATAAACTTTAATGACTGTAAACTTATAGATAAGTGTTTGGTGTCTGTATAAATGTTGTCCAATCTTACATTCTCCTTCTACTGCTATTCCGCTTTGTCTATGTAATCTCTATAATAACTGCTCTCTCTATCTGACTGCTTTCTCTATCTGCCTCCTGCTGACTCCGTAACGCCTGCTTATATACTCTTTTGTGTCACCATGTAAATAATGACGTAGTGCCCAAGTTGACGTCAGTTTGTTGACTTTACCAAAACCCCATAACCGGAAGTATCCAGTTAACATTGTTTACAAGGTGTATGGAGAAGTAATTTTAGGGGAAAATATGCATTTATGTGGAATGCCAGCGATGTTTAACAACAAAATTAAATACAAAATGAACCCAGTTATCGTATACAGGTATGATCTGTTTACAGAATTGATAAAGCGCTATTTTATTGAGGTTTTCATAATCACCAAATCACCAACACGTGCACCAAAGCCGTTACCTTTAAATCACCAACGGTCACCAACGCTCTCCAATCATCCTTGTTATAAGGTTAATTTTGTATTTAATACAATTTAAATAAGTATGTAATCTCCGAATTATCAGCAACATCAGTATACAAAATAAAACCAATAGCGCATACTCTGTAAACAGTATTTACATATGTTCACAAGGGAGGTGATAAATATGAACGATAACTCAAGGCCCATACATTACAATTACATGTATATATTAACCACATATAAAACAGTAAAAAATCATCTAGATCATTTTTAGTTTAATAATTATGAAATTTATGGAGATAATAAACAATATTCCAGTTCAAAAGATCATGAAATAATACAAAACAAAAGCAGAACTCCGAAACATCAGAGGCGGGACCAGGTAGAGGAGTGAGCATTCCCTGTCGACCGGTAACACCCTCAATGTGCTTTTTGCCATGATTAGGAAATAGCGAAAAAAAATCTGTCAATTCAATGTATATATTATAGCCTAACAACTAGTATGAAAAAGTCAGCCAGCATATGACTTCATGATAAATTTTATTTGCTGACAAGGTCATTGTATCGACCATAGAACTGAAAAAAATGATGACTTCAAACACGACTGCTGATATTCTTGTTTCAGCAACTTGTTTGTCAATAGTCTAACTCGTTTTAGATATTGTTTATACATAGACAAATATCGAATATATCGATTCAACTGAGAGATAAATACCCCGTATGCATGTGATGAATGTATATTACTGCATTAGTAGGGGAAGATGACGATGGTAAAGTTAAAGTCATCACGTTTATCATGAAGCTTGCTTGTTAGATTACCATTAAGGTCTTTTTCAAGTAAAATATCTATAAATAAAACAGATGTGTCAGACATTATGCTATCTTTTATTTCAAGCTCACCGGGATATATCTTATAGGTCTATTAATAACGGGTCGCAATTGGTACTCATAGGAATTCCAATAGATTAATGGAAGACCTGTTCTCCAATAACCACATAGAATCGAGCGAGAATATATTAAATATCAAAATCAAATATTAAATATCAATAGTATATTAAATTGAAAAATCGTAAGTTTTTATGCTGTTGATTTTGGTAAAATTTTGTGATTTCAAATTTTCCAAAAGTTCCTTGGAATTATCCACATTTGATTTACATCACTTATCGAATATATTGTACAGTACTCCTAAAGAGGTATTAAAGTAATGAAACAAATTCATTTTTGCGTTTTCATGGACTTTGCAGGAGAATTGCCGTGGTTGAGCAATGTTATCAAATAAAAGGACATTATAAAACATGAATTATTTTTTCTTTACATTTATACATGTAAATATGCTGAATTCATCTTCGAGAACTTTCTTTTGCATGAAAATGCAACATGAAAATACCAAAAATTCTTTGGATGTTTTTTTTCACTGACAAAGATGACTATTTGCGAAATACATAAAAAGTACATGCATGTATTTTATATCATATACATACATGTATATAATTCTAAATGAATTATAGCGTGATTTAACATTTGGGTGAGTTAAGGCATGTAAATATACATTAACAGAGTGACTTAATCAACTAACTTGTTTTACTAATGATATTTTGCATGTTTCTTTAAAATAATAATTTAATTAAATGCATAATATACTTATTGGTAAACAAAGTACTATGTGTAGTATTAGCTCTCTCTCTCTCTCTCTCTCTCAGTGAATTCCCAAATAAATCAATACATAAATAAAATTCAACATTATCTAGACATAAGAATTGTTGACACGAGTACACAGCTGGGGAACATTCAACAGAGATTCGGGTGTTTGCTAGAGATTGGATTTAAAACATGTGCCAGTGATAAAGGTCTTGATATTTATTGTCAATTATGGGATAAGCAAAAATATAGTTCTTTCAATTTATCATTTTTTTATAAAACAAGTTATAATCTTTTTTTCCGAATTCGTGACACCTTTCTGATATTGGAATCGCAGATCGAAGGTCTATTTTAATATTTATGAAATCTATTAAGCTTACGAATAGTAGTCAAGCTCAAAAATCAATTCAAACATACAAATCAGGAGCAAAGCAAACACGGAATTCTGAAACAATGAAAATAAGATCAACTGTCAAGAAGAAGTAAGCACCCTCTGACAAATTTGTGATTCTCATTATTTGCTCATGTCATGATCGCAAAATAACGGAAAATCCATGGACAATTCAATGTGCAAATAAGGGTCCAACAATTAGCATGAAAAACATCCATCAACAATGTATTGAATGATAGACTGTATTTGCAAGATTATTGTATCGACCATATTATATATGAAATGATGATGTTGAACGAGACTGTTGATATTGTTGTTTCATAAACTTGTTTGTCAATAACTTATCTTGTTTTAGAAATTGTTCGTACGTAAAGCATGTACTCTTGCGCATCAAATCAAATAAGAAACTTTGCATGTGATGAGGGTATGTGAAAAAAGCACGGGATATTCTTTAAATACTAGTATGTAGTTTTCGATTATATTCCCTAATTGCCTTCAGTTATGTGTTCAATTTCTTTTTTATTGACCGATAATAAATCTCAAAACTTTTTTTTAGCATTTCTGATTTTTCAAACATACGACGGTCATTTAATGAGTAATTCACAATGCCATTTCAAAAGTAAAAAAAGCGTAAGAAAAAGTTTCTTTATAATTTTAAACATTGATATTTACCAATCAACCTTTACATATTTTCATGCTCATGATCAGAACACCTCCTGCACACACTCCTTAAGGAATGCTCAAAAGACACTGATGAATGACTCTCTCCTATATTGACTCCTACTTGACAACAAAAATTGATATTCCACCACCATACTTTTCTTTTGGCAAACGATACACAAATATCATTCATACCAAGTTAAGACATTACTGTATACTAAACCATGATCTATATAAACGAAATATTGTAAGTAGTCCATTATGTTTATGTGGAAAAAATGAAGATGTGTATCATTTCTTTTTTGCATGCACAAATTATTCCAATGCTAGAAGTACTCTTTTTAATCATTTGTTCATGCTTGATTTGGTTTCTATTGATATTAATGTATTATTATGTGGTGATGTTAATTTGCCTTTAAAGATAAATAACAGTATTTTTGCTGCTGTTCATAAATTTATTGACGAAACATGTAGATTCGCCAAATGTTGTATTACATTATATTGTATCTATTTATTCATGTATCGATTGTATCATTTTTTTTTTCTTTTAGCATGACATATTGTATTAAATAAGGAGAGGAATTCACTAAGTTATGTAGAACTTGTTTCCAATCCTTTTGATTGATATCAATAAACTACG